AGTATATATATATAAATATAATAATAATAATAATAATAATAATAATAATAATAATAATAATAATAATAATAATAATAATATGTCGTTACATTGAAACAAGAAGCTTTAAAAAGCAAAACGCCCTAAATCATTTTGTTGTGTACTAATAATTCGTCACACTTATGGCTTTGAGTAACACTTAGATGCAGGCATGTCCCACCCTTGTCATTGTGTTCTGTACGGTAATCAAGAGTATGAACTAGACCATGTTGTAGACAAGGAGCTCAGAAACCCACAAAGATGTAAATCCGAAGGTATGTTGATGGTAATCAAAAGACATTTCTGACCATGTCATATCTCGTTGCTCTTAAACATATTTGAGCCTTATGTGATGATTGGGTACGGAGAGGTTATAATTAGGTTCAATCCTAGTAAAACGACTTAAAAGCAGGCCACTCACCGAGCCTCATTAAAGACCAATAATAGGTCTAAGATTCGATGGATCCGATGTATCGCCATTCATAAGTGGTAGCTAGACCTTAATACAAATATCGTATAAATGAAAGCAGCAAATGGATTAGGATATATGGTAACACATGTAGGTAAGCATGTGTGATTCAACGTCATTAATGAAAATTATTCCTGTCAGAAATCCCCTTTTATAGAACTATTAAGAAATCCGGAAATCTGACAATCTTTGTTTTTTTGGATCATTATAAAACGACATTTAAGTTTTTCTACAGCACTCCCCTTCCAGTATCATGTCACCATTAGTGTCATAACCGCTGATACAGAGAAAGACTTATGAAACGCAGCATTTAATCAAATGTGACTGGTAATCGTTAGTTAAGATATTCGATATGTTACTATCATTAATTTTTGTTGATATCACGTCTATAGACGATTGAAAACATCGTGGATTGAAAGTGCACCGGTATGGTTTACGTGTATTCAGTTTGTTACGTCACAGCCGTCTTGATCTTCCCGCCGCAGCCATGCGAAATGCAATTATGATACTTCCCTGCTTGATGTTTGACTTCTTAAATGAGTCATTAGAAAATCTGACATCTGTTATTTTAACATTTACCTTGCGTGATTACACTTTATGTATGTGTTCTATATATAAGGCGATTAACCATTGATAGACATACGGTAGGTTACTGAACATTACGTTTTGATCAGAGATGACACGTTCACATTACGGAATCCTGTTGAGTTGTTTGATGTCATTTTCTGAAAATTCAATGTACATACTTCTAATTCCAAAATCCTATTAGTTTATTGTATTGACATTGTGGAAATAGGGGTGGGGCACAGGTGATGTTGCGGTACAGCGACTTTGGTGGTTGGCTCTGTGGTAACTCTACTTGTCACATTGCTCGTCACGCAGTAGTCCTATTACGAGTAGGGCAATGTTTACCCTGTAGGCATGGAGCGATGAATTGAATTTGACAGAGTTTGCTGCTGTAGCCACTACAAGAAAAGAGCATGGATACATAGGCCTAATGTCTGTTTAGGTTTATCTTCTCAATTAGCATAGACCTACAGTATGGTAAATATAACTTGGAAACGGAGAGAGAAATATAACCGTCGGACTTTGGACCCAAACTTCTGATTACCGAAGTTGATTTTACTACGAGTTCGGAGGCCAACCATGGAGTAGGCATAATTCTTTGTCGTTTTGGCGTCGGATTTGAAGCTCAGCTGGTAGAATAGGATTGGATCGAATGGTATTCGGAGCGATAGGCCACCTAATGCATTCACATCGTGATAGACACTATACGAATGCTGACAACGAATTTGATGACGGTGAATTGTGAGTTTTGAGATGGAACACACACACAGTTCCGGAGGAGAATTTATAACGCTGTAGTTTTGCAATCAGTGCAATAGTAAGCCAACAAGGTACTGACATACACTCCTAGGTGGAGAGAAACGTAACGAACTGTTTGCATTTCTAAAAGACACACGCAAATGGACCACGTGCGGCGCAAGGTTTTGAACCCCAACCTCAAAGCCGAGAACCTGTCGCAACCTTCAACTAGTATTCCTATGTGCCATCCGCTTTCGGTACGCCAATCGCTCCATGATGACCGAACTGTTCTCTCAA